AGTAGAGTAACACTAGAATCCTTAACTTATATGGAAAGCGTTCTGCTCTCCGCATCTGCGCTGCAACATGGATGGTGTGGGATATGTATCTATCCTGATGTACCGTGGAACATACGACAGTTGAAGAGAAACTCCGATGAAGGACACAGCATCCCTGATCGCCTAAACACTAGCTTCAAACTTGCTGTGCCAGAGCTTCCGTCACACGACAGTCAAGATGCTGGAAATCACGATGTAGAACAATGGCGATTCATCCGCGAAACCCTTCCTGGGAGAACGTTGTGGAACGACCGCTCAAAAGGTTACCTAGATCGCCATATTATAGAAGATGCCGCCCGAGAGTCCTACAACTCATGCTTCAATCCTAATAAGCAGCGACGAATGTGTCACATAGTTGGCACAAAAACTGGAAAAAGCTACTCATCGGAAATTCGAGTAACGGCTGCAGGGGCTTCCTAACGAAATCATTTGAAAAAGCAGACGTACCGGCGGTTATTGCTCCTTTGTCTCATACTGACGTGGATGTAGCTGACGGTTGGGATGGGCCTCGGCCAGAGCAAAGTATGGAAATAGTATCCACAGCTTATCAACAAAAGGAATAACTACCGACCTCAAATCGGTCGACACTCCCACAAACCCTAATTTCTTGACTCCCTGTGGTCTACTAGAGACCGACAAACTAGTCTGTTTGTAAACGAATGTTGTGACCCTCTTCAATAAGATGGCCGAACTGATGGTTAGCCAGCTTTTCTAGGAATATGATACCGTTGGCATCACGCAGAAGTGGTTACACACTGACATGACGGACGCTGCAATTTCGCTACCTGGCATGTCATTCGGAAAGACAAACTGAGAAAAGGAGAAGGCGTAATTCTGTATCACCAAATCGACCTACAGTGCGATGTCATGTAGGATTCATCTGCTCTGATTCCCGAATCGCTTTGGTGCCGCTTGCAGTTAAGAGGCAGAGACACTTGCCTATAGCCTTGGTGTATCGTCCCCCTAACACTACATCTAAAACGGACTACCAAATTGCGACTGCTCTAAGGCGAACTCTAAAACGAAGATACACTCACATCATGACCATGGGTGCTTTCAATGTGTCTTGTTTAAAAACCCCTACCACGAGCGGAGAGCAATTTAAAGCCGATCGGCAGGAGTTAGTAACAATGGTGTTACTTTGCTCACTAGGTTCAGAACAGATAATAAGCCAATTGTGCTTGATCTTGTGCTTACCAACGAAGAACATATGATTGATGCGTTGATTGTAGACTGCCCGTTAGGCCGCAGTGAGCATGCAGTTATTAGTTTGCAATTCATCTGCTAGACAAACTACCGAGATGCAGACCATGAGACGGCGCGAACCATAACATGCTACAACCGATTAGCCCACCTTGTCAGTGCCACAACCTGATCGTTCCTAGCCGAAGACCGTTGGATGTTGTCTGGATCGACTTCGTAAACAAATTCAATCGGCTGGTTACCGATCCGTCAGAGTCAACAGTTAGCAAACGGTCAGAAACAGTTACTTACCTAAGGAGCAGAACTAGAAAATTGCTGGCAGTACGCAACGCAGCGTAGCGAGAGTATTGATTATCCCCAACACCATAAAGCTGGGATAACTACGTAGCCTAACGGAACCACTGCACGCAACTAATCAGAGAGGACAAAGTCGCGCATCAGCAGAACATGGCAATAACCCTCAGTGCCAATCACAAAGTCCAGTATATGAACGTCAATGGTTTACAGAAGGTGAGGCTAGGTGTTCCGCCACTCACGACTGCCGATGGCCTAATACGAACGGGTACAGAAGCAGCAAACGCGCTGCGGATGCAATATGCCCCCACCGTTCAGAAAGCATGGCCATCAGCAGATCCACCAGCTTTCATCGCCTTTCCGCCAGTACTCACTCGCACCTACTATACCACCGAAGCAGTCTTGCAGAAGCCGACAAATCTATGCAACCAAAAATCCCGTATGTCGATACGAAAATCCCAGAAACATTAGGAGCAGCAGCAAATCAATTGGATAAGCCACTGACTCAGTTTTTCCAGCGCTGCTCAGAAAGAACCAACTTCCTACCATGTAGAAGCTTAGAACAATAACATCCATTCAAAATGAAGGAAGCAGATCCGAGGCTCCAAACTACCGCCCAGTTTCCCCACTACCTGCAGTAAGGCCCAGAAGTCTTGTCCCTTTTTACTCTGTTACTCGGGTACTAAGGGTCACGCCTTCGGGTAAGAGACAACTGAGATAGGCCAACCTCTACTATTGGACAGTTGGCACTTTAGTGCGTTTTCCTCTCACCCGAAGGCGTGACCCTTAGTACACGTGTAACAGCGTAAAAGGGGACAATACTTCTGGCACTAAATGTACCTGGATTTCTTGAAATCATTCAACGGTCTAGATCATATTATACTGCTTTTCGTGCTACAGCGTAACGAGATGGTTTACTTTTTTAATCCGGATCTCTAACTTTCTCCTTCAGCGGTAATTGTTGCTCAGAGTTCGGAGCTCCTTCTCTGACCTCATACAAGTTGAATGTGGTGTGCCTCAAGTCTCTGTGCTAAGTCCCGATTGTTTTTGTTATTTAACTATGACCCCACACAGGCAAATGCATCTAACTTCCTGTTGTTTGCCAATGACGTCAAGATTTGGCACAAGTTTCAGGGGAATACTGACCAGCAACTGCTTCAGAGTGATCTAGACACGGTACCTCAGTGGTCCATCCAAAATTCACTGCACTTCAATTTGAGTAAATGCAAGGTGCTCTCCATACGACACCGGAGTAACCACTGTTACAGGCTCGGGACGCATGTGCTGCAGCGAACTGCCACCGAACCTGATTTGGGCGTACTAGTACAGGAAGATCTGGGTTGTTCCAGGCAATCCGCGAAAGCCTTCAAAACTTGTAACCAACATGTGAACTAGTTACGACGAGCATTCGGATAAATAGATCGCTATATTTTCCGGCAGATGCTTAGTGCGTATGTTCGTCCTCATGTCGAATATGCAACGCAAACCTGGCACCCATTACTAAAATACAACGTTAGTACATTGAAGCAGCCTCAACGTCGAGCACAATCTACCATACGAGGAGAGGCTGGACCGATTGCGGGTATTCAGCGGAAACTACGCCGCTTTCGAGGTGACTTGCTAATGGTGTACTTAATTCTGCACAATCCTGATCATGTGTGCCGCTCTATACTGCAACTCAGCAGTAATACCAAATTGAGGGGTCACTCACTAAAACTGGCAGAACAGTACAGCAGCCTGGATTGCCGCAGGAATCGCTTTTCCGTCCGCATTTGGTACTCGTGGAATGCCCTTCTAGAACCGCTCATTTCTGCACCATCCCTATCCATATATAAAAGACGTTTGGATGACTTACTCACCTACAGTTCCTTACCTAGTACTAGGTCTGGCTGGCTTGCCGAACTCGTGTTGCCAGCTAGGTGGTTCGGGTGTACCCCGTTCCAGCGAAGTGTTCGACGATAGTTTTCCACCTCGGTGGGGCATTGTAGTCCAGCAACTGTGCTGCTTTCATGGGGAGTATTGGGCCCCCGTTTGGTGATCTACCAAACAAAAGTCGCATGAACTGAACATTCAGTAAGCGCCTCCCAATGGGTGCGATTCCCTGAATTCGCCCTGCTGCCTTGCGGGTAGGTTATTTAGTCAAAGTCTCGGGATGGGGTCCCCTAAGTCAACTCCCTACTTCGGCTTGGGCAACCCGGTGGTATCACGCCCTCTCACAGAACCATGGACTGTACCACAACGTTCTCATCAGCTACCGTTTCTGCTTCTCACATTCACGCGACTTCATCACATGCCAATTGTTTGTTTGCTAACCATCCTTACTTTCCGTTACCTGAAATATGTGTTCAATAATCTGGCTGCGATTCCGGTTGCGTCGCGAACCACGGAGCTCAACCTATGGCTCTCCTTCGTCCCCGATCCTCGTTCCGTCTAATCTGCTTCAACATTCGGACACTCAGGCAGATTGGACAGCAAGCCGATCCAGCGCACACCCTAGAGTTCCTCGATATTGATGTCTGCTGCCTTTCAGAAACCCGATTGCTAAATCCCAGCACTGCACTTATGTTGACATCCTCAACTGACCACGAAGCCAGGTATCACATGCGTCTTTCTGGAGATCCAGAAGCAGCCTCAGCGGGTTTGGCTGGTTTAGGTATAGCACTAAGTGGCAAGGCAGAGGAAGCACTACTGCACTGGTTCCCGATTAACAGCCGACTATATGCAGTTCGGCATCGCGGTTCATGTAGAAAAAACGCCCCGCGAAGAGAGACGCAACTTGTTTGTAATCTCCGGGTACGCTCCAACTAAATGAAGCGTCGGCTCGGGCAAGGACGAAATCTACCGGGACCTAAATCAGCTCATGAATGGGCCGCTGCCACTTGGGCAACTATTAACGTGCAGCAGCCCGGTGGTCAGTCCGGAACCTCCAGTGATTAACATCTACCGCATTTTGGATGAAAAAATTCATAGTGGTTTGCAAAAGGATCTGCGCCGGAAGCCCATGCGGGTGAACGCGGCTCATTTGTTGTCCGTATTCTGGCGTAATTCCACAAGACCGGGTATCACTCGCCTCTTTGTACCGAGGACGGGGCAGTCGAGCAGATGGTTCTATGTCGCCTGCAAACACAAGGATTAGAATATATCGCAATTACGTTCCCATGATAATGTTCGATTCATGTAACCATTTGTAACATAGAGATGTACGGATTTCAATCAGAAATTAAAGCACATGATTTTAGAGAGCAGAAAATGTGGTATTTAGATAAATAAACTAAAGGCAAAAGCATTGAGTAAAGTTAACATTAATTCCGGAAGGCTGAAGTCAGAAACGGCAACTGGTTTGAACGTATTTGGCACCATTGTTTAAGTTAACAAATTTAACAACAGCAAATCAACGCGTTCTGCAGCGATCATGAGATCCTCGACTTGATAATTCCCATGAGTAGTAGATGCTCACATTACACTAGGTGTGAGCCCACATCCGCACTCCGCAGGTATAGCGAGCTGCTTGTAGCACCGCCATTCCGCTGCCATTTGCTATCTTCCAAAATACAAAACCGAAATTTTGGTCTGATAACCGCAGCTTGGACCACTGAGAAAGACTGGGAGAATGGTGTCACATGATATTTCTTACTGAGATGTAGAGCAGTACCCGGGACACCCATGACAATCCAATTAAGACTGTTTGGCACAAGTACCAGTTTAGCAAAACCAATCACTAGACGTGTGTGACATTTTGATTGCTCCAACCTGTGGTAAAATGGATGCAGATCTGAAATACATTTCGCACACCAGAAAGGCAACACCATCTGGAATCGAGTGAAATGTTCAGTTAAATTGTATAGCAGTAGTGTTGGAACAGAGGAAGCACCATCACATACTTGCTGCTGATGCATCGGTCCTCTTGTAACATAACTCTAATCCCACTCAGTTATAGATCCTGAGTTCTAGGCACTCGTGTGATTTGAGGAACTCCCGGTGATGTCTTTCATAGCATTATTGTCCGGTTCATAGGCAAAGACACACAGGTTTGGTCTGGATACTGCACAGTACGTAACTTCATTTTAGAGCCTAATACCTCCGAGGCATGTCCGAGTAAAATTTCTCTCCTCTGGTGCCTGTGTTCCATTTCAGCATTTCTTGCTTCAGCTACAAAGTAGACACCAGTTCACCAAAGGGATCCTCACAATTGCAGCTGGTTGTGTATTGATCGCTGCATTTCTATTCATACCTCTGGTGAAATGCATCAAACTGGAAGTGTCAATCCACCGTTACACGCGGCCGTCTCCGAGATATCCACCCCGTGCTCAAGCCTGACTCTACTTTGATCGACTGTTTCTTGTACAGCCATTTGTATATGAACAAAATACTTCAACATGGTTGTTGAACTTTCTCAATGACGGTCTGTTCTGTTGATTTGAGTTACCGAATGGTGGACTAATTCGTTGATTGGCTACTTGGCGGACAGGTTATTGTGGACACTGCTCAAAGCATTCAAGCAATTGGTTCATTTGCTCAACCGCACTGGAGAGTGGCACCGGGGAATTGGGAGCCACACGGATGGAAGCATTCATTTTGCCTCAGAACCTAAGCGCATATAAGGGACAACATTTGCTTAGAGGGTTTGAGCAACGCGGTCCCAAAGGAATCAAATCAGCAACGTATCCGGAATTGACTAACAGTACCCAATAATGCCACTTCCAACTCAAAGCAACTAGGATGACAAGCAGTTTGGTCCGACAGCGAACAAGTCAGGATTCAGATCGCCAGATTGTCCAAGTGACGGCACTACAGTGCACGGCGTGTTTATAGTTTCGATCAATTGATGGGATTAGTGAATAGTACGAATTGGTGCGTATTCTAGTGGAATGGAGTTAATCTGTTTGGAGCACTCACCTGATGGGTCATAGATGCACTGAGGCAGATGAAGGGATACACACAGCTGATACTACTCGATGCGGGAAGTGCAAACAGACCGTGACAATCGGTACGGAACGGGATATGTGTGTACATGGTAGGAGTAATAGAGAGGTAAATGACTTACACCTACCAATGAGATCACTCTATGTGGAATAGAGGAAAAGCCTACTACCTGTTGAGCAATGAACAATGGTTTATCACGAGTAAGAAGGTATGTGCTTAACAAGTCCCGTAGGGTTGTTGGAGAGAATATTAAGATTAAAAGGATCAACGATTGCGTAAATCGTCAATTTAAGCGTCTGCCGATTTGCCTGTACTGCTTCACACCGATAGTTGGTAATAGGAATGGAATCTGCACATGCAACATAATATGGGGAGGTAGATCAAGTGCTCCTTGAGAAATAAAAGACGGAAATGACTTCGCGCACTCGTGTTCCGCTTCAGTTGACCGAATTGGTACGTTACTCCATTTCAGGTACATCCAAGCTATTCATAAGGACACCTAAGCATGCACCTTCATCGCCATGTCGCCGGAGAGTGTCGTTGAGCAAATAGTTTTGTTCGTGTTATTTCGTCCTCTGAATATAACGGGCTATATTAGGTAAGGCGAGTGGGAAAGTGTGTCATCAAGGCGTTTTAAAAAATATCATTAATGCAGGAACAAGGATGAAGCGCGATCTGGAAGTGTGCACTGCATGTTTTGGACACCAGAAGGGAGCAAACTTTATGTCGAAAATCAAATCGACTGTAGTAAGTGGCCAGTTTGTGCTGCTGGTCTCTCCTCTTGGTATTTCGGCTCAGCTATCACAGGTTGCGACATGAGTGAATTTGTTTCGTCAGTGTTTAGTAACCTATGGTGATATGACCTCACTGATTTCGATATTCATCACTGTACAACCTAAGGGCTTTCAGTCTGCGATTTTATGGGAAGTGAAACAAAGCTATAACGAGTTTGGTTCGTATACGTTTGGGAATTTCAGGTGCATCAACGTCGCGCTTGCGCTAAGGTGTCACGTGAGTGAAGTGTGATAAACCTGTCAACATATAATGGAACGACAAAACAGGTAAACAAACGAGTTGACAGTGATCGGGTTAGTGCAGTGTATCGGGTTTGGACTCGATGGCACACATAAGGTTGTGATGAAGAGGCTGCATGGATAAGTGTCACACTGCGTTTTCCTTTGTCCGTATCTAATTGGGAAGCCAACGGACGTCTTTCAATCATGCCCAAGCATTAGGCGGTCATCAGTGAATCAGGAAAATATCTGGGGATTCTTGGTGAGTTACCTTGTTTGGTGAGTGGTATTCTTAATGAATTGAACTAATACCGCGCAAGTAACAAATATCCACCAATAGGAAAATACAAAAAGTTGGGGACAGGATAAGTTATTGAGGAGCACATACGTGATAGAAGTGCAGGAGGTAGAAATCGGTTAAGCACAGAAAACACATACGTAGTATTTGCACAGTTAAAGTCACCGCAGCCGGTCGCACGTGTGCACAGAATTCGCACGTACTCGGTAGCAATTACACCCGCAGTCGGACAGGCTGGTGAGGACACAAGAGTAATATAGCACAGCTTGACATAGTGAACAAGACGTCGGACAAGTGAAACAGTGTATAATCAGACAGTCAGGTGCGAGCTTCGCGATCAGACGACACAGATGAGTCATTGCAAGCATTGGTACGCGCATACACTCCCGAACTCGGTTGCTAACCTAGGCGCATAAGCTATCACACTGAGGTAAAGTGATTTTACAGCTGAGTCTGCATTACCTCCTTACCAGTGTTACCCAAATATAGGTGAATCCAGTGTTGCAGCGGACGATTTCACAGCGTTTGTTCTAGTGATACGTCGTAGATTTTCACTACAGCCTAGGCTTATGCCCCAAAATGTAGACCCAGTTTCAGTTGAATATGAAGGTCAAACCCAGTACGGTCCAAAACGCCCAGTATCTTATGCCTCCGTTGCCAGTATATTCGGCATGCATAAATGAATCCAAAGAACCGCCTCAAGCGGTCTACAAAGATGTACTCTCTTGCTACTCGTGTATGACTTCAGCATCAAGTAAAAGCGATGACCAATTTCGAGCAAGCTGTTGCTTCGCCAAGGCTAATTCCTGATGAGGCGGCGGACAATGTAACAGTGATTGCCAAGTGTAGAAAATAAACAAACTTGACGGGTTTTCTGTAAAACAGAGTGCCTTCAAACCTGACTGACTATTTTTCAGTGACACCAGCCCAGGGTCATATTTCGTACAGCAATGGAGCACGTGAGAAAAGGCTGGCCAAGAGGGGCAATGATTTTCAAACGCTTTCCATACAATAGGCATCAGGACAATTTGTCGTCTTTGTTTATTGTTTGCGTTACACTGAATGTGCAATTGTCCTCTTTTCCTCGTAAGGACCCGTTCTCATCCCAACCCACAAGGGTCAATAAGATCACACATCGATCAGTGTTTCGGGGGAATAAAGACAGAAGCTTGATATGTCCCGCCGAGTGATCGGTGTGGGGTGAGTAAAATAATGACAACAATGGCAAGATGAAATAGGGAACAACCGAAAATTGCGAACTTGTCGATTACAGCGTTCCCGTCCGTTTTATGTGCTATCCAAGGTTAACTTGTGATTTTCTGGAAAAGTTGGAAATAAGTTGGTTTGGTTTTATTCTTCTGCTGTTTTTATGCGTCGTTTGGATTATGTGATATGGTGTAGTAGGACCAATGCATTATCGACACGTGTTTTGAATATGGCTAACATGGGGGCTGAAATAACAGCTTCTGAGAGGGTATTCCACCTGTGGCAAACACGCAGCGAGAAGAAGTTTCTTCGATACTCAAACCGACTGTATTTGTCTGTCAATTTGAGATGATGACCTCTCAGTTGGCTGTTGTGAAGCAGGTTCAATAGGGCATGGCAGGGGTGATTAGTGTTGCTTAATATTTGCTATAAATATGATTAGGTCACCAAGTAAACGCGATAAAGTCCGCTGTAAATGCCAAGCATCTGAGGTGCTGTTCGGACCAAAGCGTTGGCCTAAAATGGACAATGATATCGCACATTTGTTCAAGTAGCTCGAAAGACGTGCGGTGGCACAGCGAGCACCTATTTGTGCCGTCTAAATCGTGACTAGTTACAAAATCAGAGGGCTAGATATTAATATAACATAATGTTATACAGGTAATAATGGGAGATACGTGAGAGACTTATGTGCTTGCTTGACGGCCGTGCGTCCAATTCAGATTGCGGTGCGGTTGCGACGATGGCTGCGTCGAACTTAAACACGCGAACAGGGGTGCACATGTCTGGTATCCGATCGTTTAAGTTGTGTTGTGTTTCGATTCGACAATCAAAGTGGATGCACCATTAAGTGCATTCTCAATCGCCTATGGTTGTCACGTGCTTTGATGCGCCCGCGTGGTCATTGGTTGGAGGTCAGATGCTGCTTTGGTGTCGGCGTGGATCACTTGGTGTGCGGTTAAGCTTTGCTATGTAGAAGAAATGAAAATACAATCACAAACATGAATGTTTTGAGCAAGTGGTAAAGGGACGTAACATAACCAACTTTATGCTCATGCAATCGCCTGAAACAACAAAGCAGTTCGAACGCGTTCGCAATTCCGCTCATTTAAGCAAGGAGTTTTATTTAACCAGAACGGCTAATACTCAGTGGTTACACCCATGTGTTCAACTCCTTAGCCAATGATCCCAAAGGCAGAAATAGAATGGATCACAACAACTACGGTATTATCATATAAAATACGGTTAGGTAAATTGGGTACACCACAAATATGCAGGATCCGAGCTAGTATGGTTAACAAAAATTACACTTATGCAAGAGGGAGAAAAGTGCTGGTCCCACTCGACATCTAGAGGACGAGTGAACGCAAGACAGGTGCGTAAAAGTATTTGCAAAGGTACTCACCAATCAGTGATGGTGGAATCACGGAGTGAGCGAAGGGTGAGGAGTTACCAG